CGGGGTGGAGGGCCGTTGGGGGAGGGTTTTGGTCGTGAACGGGGTGGTGTCGGGTTGGGGGCGGGGGAGGAGACAGCGCTTGCACCCTCGTTGCCCCGCTGCTCCCCGGTGCCCTGCCTAGCCCCCCGAACGGGGGGTCGGGCGGGCCCGTGGCAGCGGCTGGTGGCGACGGCTTTGCWACTTCTTATTGATGTACCTGCTTTGATTTGTCGCTGTCCGGGTTGACGACCCCCTTCTGTTCTGGTCGAGGGGTCGGTCCTGTCGGAACGGCACCATATTGTAGAACTCTCGGCAAACTAATATCTTGGCCCTCGCAACGATGAAGAGCGCAGCGAAATGCGATACTGAATGTGAATTGCAGAAATCCGTGAGCCATCGATACCTTGAACGCACGTGGCACCCAAGGCTTCTGCCGAGGGCACGCCCGCCCGAGCATCATTGGATTCCTCACGACCTCAGCACCTTCCGTTTCGGAGAGTGGTGGGGTCCGTGGTCGTGGCTTCCCTCGCTTCCCACATGGAGAGCGTCGATAGCCAAAAGTGGAAGGGAATTGGAGAGCATTCCSAGCGGGCCTGTGGGGGCCGCAGCCCAGAGTGGTGCGTTTTGCTCGGCCCTGTTGTTGCCCTCCAGCACCCATTTGTGGGTGGTGGTCTTCGTTTCCCTGAAAACGGCACGTAAGGTCGTCCCTCCGGTTTGTGTGGTCGCCTCGAGCTGTGGAGGTACATCGGGCCTCGAGCTGTGGAGGTACATCGGGCCTTGCCTTTTGATCTCAGGTCGGGCGGGAGCACCCGCCCAATTTAAGCATATAACTAAGCGGAGGAAGAGAAACCAACAAGGATTCCCTTGGTAGTGGCGAGCGAACCGGGAATAGCCCAGACTGAAAATCCGGGGGCTGTGTTGCTTCTGAATTGTAGTCTTGAGAGGCAACCTCTGCAGCGGGCCGTGTGCAGGTTCCCTGGAAGGGGACGCCAGAGAGGGTGACAGCCCCGTCGACCGCCGGACCCTGCTGCGCAACGAGGTGTTGTCCAAGAGTCGGGTTGCTTGGGAATGCAGCCCCAATTGGGTGGTAAGTCCCATCCAAGGCTAAATATGTGCGAGGGACCRATAGCGAAGAAGTACCGCGAGGGAAGGATGAAAAGAACTTTGAAAAGAGAGTTAAAGAGTGCTTGAAATTGCCGAGCGAGAAGCGGATGGAGGGGAAGTCGTGCGCACCCGTCTGGGCAAGGGTGGATGGTGACTGTGTTGTCGCGCCCCTTGTTGGACGTGGGGTGCCTGCCAGCATGGGCTGTTGTGACCGGCATTGCAGTGGGGAGCGATTGAAACCCCCCACGGGTGGCCGTCACGACAGTCGAGGACCTTGAGCACGCGCCTCTTTCGGCGGGCCCGTTCGGGTTCCTGCGTGTTAGGGATGCTCGCGAAATTCCTCTATCCTGCCCGTCTTGAAACACGGACCGAGGAGTTCAACGTGCATGCGAGCCGGTGGGTGATAAGCCCACGAGGCGAAAGAAACCTGATTGGTGGGAACCCTCTGCGGGTGTCCCATCCGCCAACCACGATCTGTTGTGAGAGGTTTTAGTGTGAGCATGCCCGTTGGGACCTGAAAGATGGTGAACTATGGCTGAGCAGAGCGAGGCCAGAGGAAACTGTGGTGGAGGCTCGCAGCGATACTGATGTGCAAATCGTTCGTCGGAGTTGGGTATAGGGGTGAAAGACTAATCGAACTGTCTAGTAGATGGTTCCCTCCGAAGTTTCCCTCAAGATAGTTGGAGCTGTTGAACAGTTTTATCGGGTAAAGCGAATGATTAGAGGCCTCGGGGGTGAAACACCCTGGACCTATTCTCAAACGTTAAAAAGGTAAGATTTCGGGGTTGCTTAAGCGAACCCCGAGGATCAATGAAAGCTCCAAGTGGGCCATTTTTGGTAAGCAGAACTGGCGATGCGGGATAAACCGAAAGTCGAGCTACGGTGCTAAAATGCGCGCTAACCCAGATACCACAAAGGGTGTTAATTGATACAAACAGCAGGATGGTGGTCATGGAAGTCGAAATCCGCTAAGGAATGTTTAACAACTCACGTGCCGAATCAATCAGCCCAGGAAATGGATGGCGCTGAAGCGCACGATCTATGCTCGGCCGTCGGGGCGATTCTGACGCCGCGACGAGTAGGAGGGCGCGGCATCCGTCTACTCAGCTGGTGGGCCAAGGTCTGCGTACCTCCGAGTGAGAACTAGTCGTGCGATGGGGACATCGCATTTTGAGTAGGGGGAAGGTGTGCCATCTACCGATGAAAAAAGGCATGCAAAAGAGAAGGTCACCATGAGCTCAAGAAATCGTGTAATTGACTTTGCGCAGGCTTGAGAAAAGGTCTGACAAGATGTCCATAAGAAAAATGCTTGTATACTTGACTTCGCGCAGACTTGAAAAAAGGCCTGACAAGACGTCCAGAAGAGAAATGGATGAGTAATTGACTTTGCATGGGCTTGAGAAAAGGTCTGGCAAGATGTCCAGAAGAGAAATGGATCAATGATTGACTTTGCG